AGTGACTTGACGCATGGCGATGTGCTAGACATGTTGACAAGATTACAGAACAAAGACTCCAGTTACTTGACAGATATCCAAAATTTCATAATTCGAACGGAAAACAAAATCGTTGAAAAAAAAAGATGTTCTTTAAAGTAGTCAAAACTTGATGATTTTTTACATCATAATTTGATTCATTGACTCACAGTTGAGGGACTGTGATTGACTTAACAGCAAAATCGACTGTCTGCATAAATTATGATAATTACATGTAGCTCACGTGAACTTACGTAGTGATGTCATCCAAAATGGACGCCTTCAGTTACGATACGCAATACTTACCCGGTCTGTTCGAATAGTTATTTTAATGTTAATTGATGTCATGTACATACCATAATATTTTTGTCTTGTTTGGTAAATTATTTTATTGAAACAATACAATAAATGCACATTGTAAATACATGTAGAATCACCGGAGGCAAACTCCGATGTCTTTCATTTGTCCCGTGTTTACAGCACATGTAATTGTTGTTTCAATCAAAGTCACGCCCACCCTGAGTAAACCGACTCCCTCTGAAAACCGACCATAGATCCCAGTCCCAGTCATGGTCGGTTTTGACAGGTTTTACTGTATAATTATTTCAAAACAATATGATGTTCAAGACCAAGTTATCCGACTTAATAGCAAATATGTTAAAACATCCACATTCATCACACAACACACAATGTATTTTACTCATGGCAACCTTTTCAAACGCGATGTGTCACTCTGACAGTGGATCTTTAATGTGTGTTCAATCTATCTGGTTTCAAAATAGTGTGACAACTTTTTACATATCATTTTAGGGATGCTGTTAGAAATGGAAGCTATATCAATTCATCAGCTATTGCTGTCAGAAAAGGATTTAGTTTTGGCCGTGAATAAAGCCAAGATTGCACTCCAACAGGAAAACAACAGGTTAATAGTAATCGTTCATATAAATAACACATTGACAAATTTTGTAAAATTTCATAGTCAACTTTTTGTTAGCTCCGCTGTCGACTTTGTCGAGCAGAGCTTATCATATGAGTGATTGTCCATCGGCGTCTGTGTCAATGTTTTATTTTTTCGACTTCTTCTTGAAAACTACGAGTCTGAATGCTTTGATACTTGGTGTATATGTACTTTAGATAGACCTCTCTTAGATTTGTTCATTTCATAATGATATCTTTAATTCTCTAATTTTGGTGAATATTTTTGTCATTTTTGGTAAAAAGTGATATTTTCGATTTCTTGTTAAAAACCACAAGTCTGATTGCTTTGATACTACATGTGGACCTCTCTCAGTTTTGTTCATTTCGTGATGATATCTTCAATTATCTAATTGTTATGATTATTTTTGTTTTTTTTTTAGTAAAAAGTGATATTTTTTTCAAATTCAAAACAGGCCGATTGCTTTGATACTATACGTATTGCTTCTTTTCTAATGATATCTTTAGTTCTTTAATTGAAATGTGCATTGCTAACAGTGGAGCACAGATCCCGTGCACAGATTTGATTAGGTTTGGGTTGAAATCCACGCATATTGATTATCTATCATTAGCCCATTTCTGATATCTAAAAAAATTAGATTTAAATTGAATTCATCACAGAGGTGCTCTGGAATTAATTGTACCGAAAAATCAAATTTTCTGTATGTGCCGGTATTATAAATTTTGATAATGTGAATCACATTGTTTTCATGTTATGCATCTCAAATACCAGACAAATATCAGTTGCCAAGCTTCTTGTTTGAAAGGCAAATCTTAAATTTTGAATTAACTTTAATTTCAACAATTTTGTTTTTCCCACCAGTGAGACTGAGACTGAAAATGAGAAGTTTGGTGAGGAACTTTACAGCATTATAGAACAGAAATACCCTGAACATGCTTCCAAGATAACAGGAATGATGCTGGAACTCAAACACTGTGATTTGGTGAAACTAATGAACAACAGAATACTTCTAGAAAGTAAAATACAAGTAGCTTTAAAAGTAATACAGTCTAATGAAAATGATTGCATGTGAAGAGTTTGCTCCATCCATCTATCTTGCTTGATTTGACATCAACACATGTGAAAAGTTTGCTCCATCCATCTATCTTGCTTGATTTGACATCAACACATGTGAAGAGATTGCTCCATCCATCTATCTTGCTTGATTTGACATCAACACATGTGAAAAGTTTGCTCCATCCATCTATCTTGCTTGATTTGACATCAACACATGTGAAGGATTTGCTTGATTTGAAATCAATACATGTGAAAAGTTTGCTCCATCCATCTATCTTGCTTGATTTGACATCAACACATGTGAAGAAGGATTTGCTTGATTTGAAATCAATACATGTGAAAAGTTTGCTCCATCCATCTATCTTGCTTGATTTGACATCAACACATGTGAAGAAGGATTTGCTTGATTTGAAATCAATACATGTGAAAAGTTTGCTTCATCCATCTATCTTGCTTGATTTGACTTCAATACATATGTTAAAGTGTGGATACCCCTTGTTGTTTTCCAGCAATGTGGAGGTTGTGTTAATGACAAATCTGATCACTGGTCGACTGCACGTCAACATTACAAGCAGTGATTATTTACATATTACAGAGAATACATAGACTGGTATTGAACTTAATGTGTTAATATTATAAAGTTTGAAAACAGTGTATGAATGTTATAGTCAAGTCAATACATTAGAAAGACAAGTGTATATCAGATCTTTGCAGGTGTCCTACAGCTTTAATTTCGGTGTTTTTAACTTATCTTAGTCAGTACAGACTTTTGACTGATCACAAATTTTATTTTCAACTTGTTCATTAGAACCTACGCATAGTTCAAGCGCAGTCCCTCAAACTGGACTGTGGTTTAGGCTATATAGAAAACTAGTAAATACGAGTACATTCTCTTTTGAAATGGCTCTTGAACACTGTATGCTATTGAATCTTTTAAAAATTATCTGGATTGTTAGAGATAATTAGCTCTTATGGGTAAGTGGAGTGATGACTTTCCTCAAATAACATGCGCAGGTTGCGGGATCAACATCGGTATCAACCTGCAGCAAACATTGAAACATCTTTAGTTACCATTCAGAGTAATTATGACATGTTTGGTGTTTTACACATGTTGTATACGTAACATGGGACCCGCTTTGAAGGAGTAGAAAATTCACAAGAATGGCATGTAGCTATTTCAAAACATTTTACACTCGTAAATCAATGTTCATTTTAATACCTCAGCATTTATTTTTGAAATAATGTACAGCAATGCAAATAAATACATATTCATAAAATGTACATTCTTTGGACTATTTTCTGTTATCTATGAAAAATTTTATTTTAGTTATATATACTCAAATAGCTGAAAACTATGTGTTCTATTTTCTCTCATCACTGTATCTACTTTTTTTTTTCATTTTCAATGAATTCTCCACAGCAATTTGCTTATAGGGTATATTCACAAGTATTTGATTATCTGTGCTCTTTTATTAAAATCAGTCAGTGTCCTAAATCTGTAAACCCCTTTATTAAAAATTAAGCCAAGCTCTTGGCATTTGCAATGATGAACCTGTATGTGTTGGAGATAAATACCATTATAATTACAGTTTTACAAATTAAGTTCATAAATTTTAAACATAGTTGAACTCTGGTGACCTTGCCTTTTGTTATATAATTCCCTTTATCATAGTTTGATTCAATATAAATATGCATTGTCATAATTAATTTTGAATACAAACAAGTTTTGGGGGAATCATTGGGGAATCAGTCTACCGAATGTCCTTAAAAGATGTAAATATCTTACAAAAACATTGGTGCCTTATTTGTTTAATTATTTTAAGGGACATAATTTCCAGCTTTATTCAAAGTAATTCAGATATTTTAGTATAAAAACAAATGTCTCATTGCAAAAAAAAAGTGCTGCATTTAGATGTGAATAGATTCATAAAACATGCAAGATAACAGAAAATTTTAGCTGGCTTTAGTCCAAGTATTTTGTACAGGTGTCTGTCAAAAATTAATGATTTCACTGAGACAAATATGAACTGCCTCATTGTGTGACTACTGTATTATATGAAAAGTAAAAAAAAACACACCCTTTATGAATAGCTATCATATTGCAAGCTCTGCTTTGTATGCAAATCAACTTAAATAGTTAGTTGGTGTCCAGTGGAGGGAGAAGTCAACAGTACTGTTGCCTCCTGAGAAACTACATCTTCAAACACTGCAATCTTTGAAGTGCGTTTTTTAAACTAGTATTATAAAAACTCTATCATTCTGTTCTAATAGCTGAAACATATTCCTGTGAGTTTTCATTTGTCGAATGAACTGTTTGTCAAATACAGAATACATATATTTTAGAATAATTTTCTTTTTAAAATGTGGATGAAATGTTTTGCTTTTAATGTATTTTTTATGTATTGTTTTTGATTTGATAACTTTGAACTAAACAGATTTTAGGCACCCAGTTCATAGGAGTGCTTATATTGATTTTCTGACATCTTGTTTTCTGTAAAGATATTATTGGTAGGTTTGCAAATGTGTATCAGACTGTGCAATCTCTCCATGAGTTGGTTTTGAAACCCAGTATGGGATTCTGAGATACATTACCAAGGATATTATTACAAGATAAATCATTTGCTTCATTAAACACATACAACAATGCATATTTCCACTGAGATCAGTGACCTTTGATGTGTATCACCAGTGATCAGTCAAGTAGAAACAGTCAAAATATTTTATCAGATTTTCTCAATTTTTGCATGATATTTTCATACAGGACATCTGTTGTTCAAACTCAGGGAAGACTTTATACTGATGAATAAGGTGACCAAGTTTGATAAAGTTTGGAATAGAATTAGTAAAGTTATTATGCACACAATAACAATTATTAACGACGACGACGGCGACAACGACGACAACAACAACAACGACAACGCCGGACAAAATTTTTCCCTTAATATACCTTTCCCTTCCATCTTTGATGGTACGGGCAAGGTAAAAACTATACAGTATAGGAACATTATCTGATCTTTGATGGTACGGGCAAGGTAAAAACTATACAGTATAGGAACATTATCTG